CTTTGCATCTATTCTCCTATCTTTCTGTAGAATACGTTATTCCTAACAGTCTGGCTTTTCCACCGTCTTCTCTCATCATCTAAAGGAATCATGGGCCAGGAAGATCGTAGTAGTTAGGGTTAAACCTTCTTGGTCTTAACACCTTCTCGATAAGTGAACGAGGAGGGTGGGTGGCGAATGCTGCACAAGTCTGGTTCAGGGGAGACTGATGCACTCACAAACCACCATTATGCACTTTTGGTCCACTCCCCCGCCGATCGCCAGCTCGATGACTTAGTCATGTCCTCCATCTGTTCGCCACAATCTCCCTGCCAATCAGCCACCGGAACCTCGTGGAGCTTGGCACTGAAGTGGCGAGAACTCGAAGCCGAGCGAAGCTGCCACCTTTACCGAGTGGTTGCATGTGGACACCGCTCAGTCAGAGCAAAGCCGCACACGCGGACATACGCCCGATACGGCAGCCTGCTGAGCTTCATTTGCGGTCTTTCGCCTCAGTAAAACCTGTCCAGGCAACAGTAGCTTATGTAGTCCCCTCATTAATCCCTACTCCCAGCATGTTGTCCTACGAAAACGGTGATTATAGGGTTTTATGGGGGGAATTAGGACTCACAGTGGAATATACTTTAGCAACTGCTAAATGCATTTTAATTTTACTGTATTTAGAAGTGTTGTTGATTCATACCTGTAGGTTTTCCTAATCTGTATTATCGTTTAACTTATTGCAAGAAAACCCGATTATCAAATTGCAGGTTTCTTGAAATTCCTGAAAAATTGAACTAGTGGTTAGGAGGTGGTCTACTTCAACTTACCTGAGGTCTAATTTACCGTTCCGGAGTTAGATTAGTATAGTCCACGGCGCAAAGCGCCGCCCAAACCTTCAATTTACATGCGGAACAATTTACTCCCAGCGCCCATGGGAAACAACTTCAACTACATTTTTTCACTTTACACTTACTTCTAAAAATATCCCATTCCCCCACCCCCCAAAACCTTATAACCACCGTTTTCGTAAGACAAAATGCTGGGACTAGGGGTATATGAGGAGGACTAGATAAGCTACTTTTGCCCTTGTCCAAACTAATCTACTGTCCTTGACTTGTGATTTGGGAATTATCGTTTGTCGAATCATCGCACCTTTCGGTTTGCTTACCTCGTGGAGAGGAGAGGCTGGGGGTCGGTGAGAGTCCTCAGTTGTGGTGTTTAAACCGTCACGTTTACAGGTTGTGTGGGATGTTTAAGGTGTCATGGAAGTGGACTAAGGTTTTGGCGTTATGTTTACTTCAGCGGCAAAATGCCGTTTGGTTGGCCATTTCACGACAATCCTTTGGCGGTTCCCACAACGTGACTTAAAAATTACCAGCCCACCATAGAAATAGTCCCGACCATGATACTCGCCCATCCTACACTCTAGCAGCTATCATTTAAATGGGATGATAAGCATTCTAAACTAGGTGTTGTTGTACTCTTTCTCTTGCTCCTGTTTTTCAATTGACACAGTTGTACAAATTTCAGCGGCCTCGGTGATATTCGAACCCAGGCCAGCAAGGAAAGGCTTTAGTACAGTCAATGCTCTAGCCAACTAAACTATCGAGACCCCATCGGGAGCCGTAAATTTAAGCATAATCGGGTCAATTTACCCATCCAGCCCGCGGCAATGTAGGGAATCCGCCGATACTGATGCAGTTAGCTGACTGCCCAAGCAGTATTTCCCAAGCAATCAATGTAAAATCCATCAGGTGATTACCAGACACATTTAATTATTACTGTTTTCTCCTTTGCCTTATGCCTTTGCAATTCGGCATGCGGTTTTCTGCCCACTATTACTGCCACCAGGCGCTGGCCTCAAGCAGACTGACATTCCTCAAGTGTACCATGAATAAATCTCCCTCCATCCTGCATACTGAAAAAGAGGCAATGATCGAGATCCAGGTGGGTTCTGCTGCCAATCCACCAGTTAGGCCTCTCCCCTAATCTTATGCACTGCGACCATGCGCGTAGTTGTATCTCCAATCCCAAGGGGTCGATCAGGCTAAGAAGAATACAGCAAAGGTAGCTTAAGTGGTGCACCTCATATACCCCTCGTGCCAGCATTTAGTCCTACAGAAATGGTGGCTATAGGAGGTTTGGGGGTGGGGAAATAGGATAGGCAATGAAGAAAATTTGTAGAAGTAAGTGGAAAATGTAGTCGAATTTTTTTCCGCGCCCGCTGGGAGTAAGATGTTCCGCATGTACACTGAAGGTGTGCGCGGTGTTTTACGCCACAGACTATACGAATCTAACCCTAGAATGGTAAGTCTGACCTGAGGTAAGCGGAAGTAGATGATCCCCTTACCACTAATTTTTCAGAAATTTTAAGAAACTTGCATTTTGATAATCGGGTTTTTCGGTAATATGTTAAACGATAATATAGATTAGGAAAATCTACAGATGTTAACAACATTTCTTAATACAATAAAATAAAAATGCATATAGCAGTTATTAAAGTATATTCCACTGCCTATCCTAATTTCACACCCATAAGACCATATAACCACCGTTCTCCCAGGACAAAATTCTGGAACTAGAGCTATATGAAGTGTACTACTTAAACTACCGTTGCCAGGAATATTAGTGAACGCGAAGCAACTGCTGTCTCTTGCATCATTATCAGTCAAACTCTGCAGTAGTAATAACTGCGGTATTTTGACTTACCCGCATGCAGAAGTGTCTGGCACAGTGCTCTGGTCCGTTCTCTGGACGAAATAGACTAACGCGCAGGATGGGCTTCCACTTGGCATCAAGCGCGGCAAAAGTGGGTGGCACATCCTTGGGTACCGTGAGTTGGTCCCGAGTTTTGTCAATGGCCAGCGGTGATTTTTCTGGCCGGATGTCCCAAAAGAAGACACCTCCTTCAATGGCACATGTCATGAGTTGGAGGCACTTTCTTTTGGGGTTCTCCGTAACGAAGCCGGCTCGATTTAATTCAATGTGATCTGGCACCCATTCCAGCTGGGTGATGGGAGTGCCATGTGAAGCATCAAAATTGCTGCTGGCACACCACGGCGAAATTGGCACCTTGAAGGAGGGACAAGAATAATTATTTAAAATGTACTTCTGCATTTTGTACATTTTTTTCATCAAAAATAATACTGAAACAATTTGGGTAGAATTAAACGAAGAAAGCTGCTAGCTGCCATTAGAAGCAGCCGATCAATAAACAGCGAAAGAAAGAAAAGTCCTCGCGAAACCCACTAACTCTGCGGGAATAAGCAAAATGACGAAAAACAGACTGGTTGTGAATCTGAAGCAAAAGTAAACCGGAAGGCTGGTGGCGGACGTACAAGGAAGAACATGCGATGGAAAAAATTCTTTTTAAATACAAGTTAATTGTCACACCAGTGAAAATTCGATAAAGTCGAATACATTTTCACCGTATGGAAGATTTCATCAGATTACCAGTTTTGGCATTCCGACAACCATAGCAATAGAGGTGTCTGTTGTCTTTAAACTCCTGGTGGTTCGTGCATTAATCTATATATTTAACAAGGAATACATTCTGGGAAAATCGTTCGAGAAAGTATCGGGTTCCTATCCGATAACCTTCAACCGTATAATCAGTCGGGTGTATATTTACTAGATTACTGACAGAATTAACTTGTTCAAAGTCGGCGTGGCTACCCTAGTAATTTAGGATGGCCTCTGTTTATATTTTTTATGCAATAAACCGGTGTATTCAGGGATTCATAATCTTTCGGTGCATGGAGGCATCTGAAAATGTGAGCTATCCATCAATATCCGAAAGACTGATGGGTAATATCACCAACTATACGCGACCGTAGTTTTACCGCACACCCCAAATGGTGACTATCTGAAACCCTAGACAGGGGTTTCACCAATTTTTCCGTATAACGCAACTGGGAAGAGTTCAGTCCCTCGGTGGGTCTTCCAGCGTCCTCCATGAAGTTTCCGGTATATGGTATTCCTGTTTTATTAGCCATTGTCAACTACTCGCCAGTAGTCACCACACGACTGTCTCTGGGGGGCTCTAGATTGGAGTGTGAAGCACAACGGGATAGCAGCCCGAGAGAAGTAATTAGAAGGAGGCGAAATGATTTAGAGGTGAAAAAGATTGATTCTGTAAATTTTTTAAACCGTTTCCCCAGCCTCATGTCAGACGCAAAGACAAGAAGCAAACGCAGTTCACTTTCCAGGCATGCCATCCCAACTGTTCTGTGACTGATTAAATTCTCAGCTAATAAATATCAATTTCATCTTGTCCCCTAATCGGGTTAAACTGCGTTTTTTGCTATCCGTCCTTCAGAATTTTGGATGTTTCAGTAAAATTAAGAATTGATAGATCCGGTTTGGAACAGATATCGAGTTGTGGGCTGAAGAAGTAAACCTAAAATTAAGCGTAGACTGTCACTGACTGTGCGCTGTGAGATAGCAGTCAAGAAGTTGAAAGTGGTTATACTTATTATCCTGCCTGTCCTCATATATCTTGCAAAATTTTGGAAAATTCGCACTGAGCTGCTTGCACACAATATTTACTGGAGTTTATCACATTTCTGCACAGAGTGGAAAACATGCCCTTTTTGCACTTTCCACGCCAAACTCATGTGAACAAATTAAACTATTCTGGGAAGGTGGGAATTCTAATTATAAGGAAGTTTATCAGTTGAAATCACCCTAAGTACTTAAACAAAAACAGAGTAAAATGACTGAACATACGAAGTACAAAACTATTCACCTTTAGTGCGTCATTTTCATCAAACTGGAAGAGTGGAACTTTGGTCTTGCTCTTAACTTTTTCGATGACATCACTAAGGTCTTTCTCATACCTTGAGATGTCCCACAAAATGACTTCACCGTTGAAGCAGCCGCCAGCGATAATGAAAGGATCCGTTGGTGAGAACTGGAAGCAAAGTATGTCTTCTGGCGCTTCCAGCAAAAGCTGTGGCTGTATGGGCTCAAAGAAGCTCCAAATTATGATGAAGGAGGGTGTCGTTAGGATTCGCGACCATTGATCAATCCGGGCATCGTAGGTTAACTTTTCTCCCACTGACATTGCAACAAGACCTTCAATCGTTGGGTGCCATTCAATATGCGTTACTGCCTTGTCCTTACTGAACTTCAAGTCTGTGAAAGAGATAACCTCTTTGAAGGTGTTTCCCGACTTATTGTCATAGGTATCGTCGCCCAGAGCCAAATTAATATAGTCGTCGAAGAGAAAATCATACATAAGATTCTGCTTAAGACCCTGCTCAAATAGCGGTAGGAGGTTTTCTATACCCTTAAGTGGTGTCTGGGCACTAGTATACGTCTGTAAGTCTTCTGGACCCATCGATCTTGCCTCGTACTGGACGACCTGATTGCGTGGATAGCGCCATTCAGTGTTCGTGAAGTGTTCAGAATAGAGGTTTGTGCAGCAGACTCCTCTCTCTAATTCAAGAATGGGTACCTCGAAGCTCTTGTCCTCGTAGGGCTTGACTTCATTATATATCTTCTTTGCATCCAGATTTACCAACGTACACGGGGCGCAGAACTCGCGCCTCGGACGCTCATAGTTTGTCACCACACGTGGTCTCGTCTCGAAGAAACTCGCTTGGATAATCTCCCTGTCCGAACCCTGGCTTACCCAAGGTTTGTCCTCCCGGGCATCTATGTAGGCAACAGAGTCGTTTGCCTCTTCCATCACATCCTCTTTTTCAATTTCAGTCCGAACAATCTCGAGTTTTTCGATGCGAAACTGATTGTCCAATTCTTGTGACAAAATAAGCAGGAAGTTACCGGCGAACTTTTGGCTTGGATCTGCGATGAAGGTTAGAGTAGTGCCGGGGTACTCGTTGACTTTTTCTTTCAAAGCATCCAAATTTTGTTCCGGCAGGTCGTTTTCCAACACACCAAGAAGTTCAGCCTTGTCACGAGAAATGCCGATGTAGGCTGGTGGTTTAGGTGGAGCTTCGGGACCTGTGTCTTCGGGAGCTTCTTCCTTTTTCAGACTTAACATCGTCGGGATGCCGAATATGGCCACCTGCTGTTCCTCGGTCAATGTAAAGGCTATAGCTTCGTCTTCGGGTAGACTCTCTTGAAGCATGTAGTTGGCAATAACTTCGTCATGATAAAGAGATGGAATGGTCTCTTCTGGAATCTCAGGTTTGGTGTTGGCGGATGATACTTCGATCTTTGATGGAGACTAAATTATTTTTGAAGTTATTTGATATAACTGCACTTGCCTGTTTTCCAGCAGCTTTGCTGACTTTTCGATTTTTTCCTTTGGCATCAGCTTTGGCTGACTGATTGGTATTATCCATAACTTCAGCGTTTGGAATCCAGTTGCTACCAAACGAAGTCGTAATAAATAGTTTTTAACACTAATATTGACGGTAGATAAAATAGCAGACAGAAGCCAGCCATTTTTTGTACTTACCATCAAAGGAAGCTTATTGTATCTGCAAAGTATAATTTACAATGTGGGTAATTTTAGAATTATTAGAATGGACAACAAACAAGGACAATAATTAATCATTAATTTCTGAGGGAATGTAAAGTGAAAGTACATATATGTGCTCTGAATGGTCGAGAATATGAAAGGCCCAGGTAAATGAATAGAAGGGGGAGAAGTTTCTCAGGGACCGGTGATTTATTTGTCCGACGTGTCGGACTTTCACGCGAGCTCATTGTCAAGAAATAAAAAATGTACAACTCACTGTGTATTTAGATCACAGAGTGGAAGCGGCAATAGGCAGGCAACTAAAGATCCAATACCCGCTAACGAAAAATCTGGTGTCATTTACCGCATCGACTGTCATTGTGGTCAAGCCAATTATGTTGGTGAAACCGGCAAACGGGTTCTCTTGAGACTGTACGAATAGTAACTCGGTGTGCGATGGATGACAAGTTTTCCTTGGTAGCCACTCACGCATCCACGCCAGGGCACGGCCTCGACTTTGATCACCTGCGACTACTGGGTTAGTCGGACAACTGCAGCTCACGCCTGTTGGATGAGGCATGGCACTCGCGCGCGATGTCTTTTAATAAACATATCGATCTTCCTGAGGCCTATCTCGCGTTGCGCGAACAAATCGATGGTAGAGCTTAAGGCCACTCCCGGCAGAGCTGAGCTAACTACACAGTGAACTGTAAATTTTTTTATTCCTTGACAGTGAGCTCGCGTGAGAATTCGAAACGTCGGATAAATAAGCTCCTAGTCTCAGAGGACGTTTTCCCGCCTTCTATATATATGTGTCTGTTTGTGTGTTGTGAATAAAAAGGTATCAGTAATTAATTTGTACATTACAGACACTCCATGGGTAGTACAAATTTCCTGCTTACTCTTTGAATATACACAATAGGCCGTAGTTATTTGCCGTCACCAGAGTATACTATGCAGATCATGGTTAATGACCTGACTTCTTGACAGGTTAACAGATTTTTAAGTTTAAATCGAGTGCCCAAGGAGAAGCCCGTGTTTAATGATTTTTCCCAGATCACGAGTAACGAGATCTCTGTCTTAGATAACAGGACAGGTAGATTTACGTAGGACAAACGACAAAGACCAGTTATTTCCAAACTTTTGTTAACCTCAATTTTGTCTTTGATGTTTCATGGGATAAAACCTTTTGATTATTGGGTTGCCTAATGATGAAGAGAGAGTGTCACTTTATTAATTGGGTAAAAATATCAAGATTCACCTAAAGACTTATTTGCACTGTCTTTTGGTAATCCCTTTTAACGGTCCACATGAAATACTACGGACGCAATAACGCAAAATGTCATACGTTGTTCACAAACGCACCCAACTTCAATCAGCATGATTATTATTTTATTTTTTGTCTTCACAATTGCTTCTGTCTACCGAAAACGAAGTATATTATAATGATCACTCGTATCTTAAACCGTATGCATTTTCTGTATGTAATACTCACAAATGAATGAGATATATAAATTAAATGATAAACAATCTTTTCAAGTATTGTATTATAAATGTTTTTGACTGTTGACCAAAGGGATAAAGGAATGCCTTTGTATACCACCTCAGTCAACAATATAATCGTTTTGAATTCACTAAACTAGATGACCGCATAAATGTAGTGCTATCCCCTGCACGAGCTATAAATTTTCCACGTAGTTGTTAATTTTATATTTCTCGACAGTATTGATTTGCGAAAACTTGGCTCAACCTAGTTTTTTAATTGAAAGTACAGATAGGAGGCCGCATATACTTGCATCTGTGACTGTAGTGGTGGTACTGAAATAAGCCAGGCTTTGATTATACTGCTTTCGTGTGTTCATTTCTAATGCTCAAACGTAGCCTTATAAAGTTAGCCCATTTGGGCTTATAAGCACTAGATGGAAGAATGAGAAACCTTATTCCAAAATTACGCTACTAGTGTGAACTGATTGTGCCGTTGCGCAAAGCTGTTCATTATGCATTCAGCTGTATGCAAATGGGATCCTTGCACTACTTTCGTTATAGAAAATGGTATTAATCGACTTTCATTTCAGACCATTTTCCTACGATCCAGTTATTATTTTACACCATTACTGTGAATCCGGTTCATTGACAGCGCAGACTATAAGGTTTTATCTTCGAGTGCTACTCTACTATATGGATGGCTGACTTGTGCTAAGAATTTTACACATGTTTAGAATGATACCGTGACATCTTACAATTAATGGGAGCAAAATCATTTCAGAGTGCCAAATAAAATTTAAGATATTAGCTCCAAGAGGATCATCTTCTGATATCTTCATATCAGAAGTCACGGTATTAATCTTTTTATGTAGGTATCGCGTACTTCTATCCAAAATTCATTAGAAAAATATACGTTAATGATTGGAGAGAAAGCGTTTAAAATTGTAGATCAGTGCAATATTAAAGGGTATCGCGCACTTTCCGATATTCCCTTAACCTGCGATTCGTGCGTTTCGAAATTGCTTGTAGAATTGCTCGAAATTATACTTTTATTCTCGTTCTGAAAAGCTGTATTTGAAATTTCTAGTATTTTGCCCTCCCACACTAAACCTGTCAATAGTTTAAAATGCGCTGAACCCAACAAAATTTTATCGCTAACATCAAGAATTTCCCAGAAATGACACCTAGATCAATCCGACAATTTTAAACCTGTTAGTATTAGCTCGTCAGGATCACATATATCTTAATTACTCATCTCTCTTCGACTAACTCAAATTATTCTAGTTTAAACTTTGGATTCTATGCACAATGTAATCAGGTTGGACCACGGGACTTTATTCATGCATGACGCCATGTTATTATTTTTTTAATTTCGTACACCTATTTTAATGACTGAAGATAGGGCGGTGAGCAAAGTATTCGTTCGAAAAAGTCCGAATTCCCTATTACGTAGATCTGTATGTGCACAGATTAGTATTTTTCCTTTTTTAATACAAATAACATGTACGCGCTTTCAACTGGCTCGCAGTTAACGAACTAGATGCTATAGCACCTAAAGGCTTAAAAGCCGCTATAAAACCTAAGCTGGCGTAGCCCATATGTTATCCCTATTTAGACGGTGAAATGACTTAAAGACCGTTATTTAGGTACACGATTCGTGAAAATACTAAATATAGTCATCTAATACATGGTATTTTTTGGCCCCTTTTGGCTACATAAATGCATGGACAGAGAGGTCTTTTTTACTTTTCTTTGTCGGTAGACAGTGTCCAAAGGGAGACAAATGAGCAAAAAGTTGTAAGCTTGGACAGTTAAGAAGATTCTAAAGGAAGAATCTCTGAATATAGTTCATTTGTAGGCTGAGCTTGCTGTGACACATACTACGGAAGACCTGATTTCCTACACATGCGCCGTAAGCTGATCGCGTGTTAGTAACGGGAGTTAATATAATCAGTTCAAGGTTACAATTGATGCACTCAAATAATGTTTTGAGTTCATAGTCCTCAGGTGGCGAATCAGTCGAAGAAAAATTGTTTACTAGGAGTTTTACATTAGAAAACTGACTTATCTGTTAGTTGTGTCGTCCACACATCTTCAGAGACTGAACATTCACGCTCAATGATCTCATGATATAATGCTATTTTCTGTGTGCGTTTCCTGACAAAACAGGCTGAGCCGATGCGTAGGACTCACGCCTCAATCTCGCCTGTGTCTTGCTTCTTTAATCTGCCTTGTTTTATTATCCTCATCCCGGCTTAAAATTTTAACGGTTCTGAAGTTGAAGACCTGCTCCAACTGCGCATCGTAGGTTGCTACATCCGATTTTGTGTCCAACCTTCGTGCGGCCAACATATGCTCATAAATTCATGTTTGTTGTTCTCAGCCGGTTTCTCCAAAGTCATTGCACATCTTGTAACTGCACTGAAGCCGGAAGGCAACGGCTGACTGCTTCTCATTAAAGATGGGTTCTTTCAGCCGTAGGGAAATTTTAAACCACCTCATTCTAGAAATAATCGACCAAGAGGCAACTTTTATCAGTATATCCATGCATACGTCTAGTTGCCGGCGTCTTCAGTGACAAAAACTCACCTCGTATAGTAAACTTAAAATAAACAGTAGCAGCGTATGCGGTAATAATAGAGGAATAATATTTGGCGCTTGTGAGCTAGAAAAAGAGACAACTATTCCGACTGGATCAAGGAGGATTAAAATATATGACCAGGTCTCACACAGCTATTGTTAAGTAAACGTAAGAAAGCGTCAAGCAGAGAAAAAGTCCTTAATTTGGCTTCGTATAAAGTTTCAGTGCTGACATAGTATAATGGATTATGCCCTTAATATTAAGTTTTAAGTTCAAAATTAACTGCAAAACATCGCTAAATTTTGCCCTAAAAGTACAATTTCTGCTGATATTATTACAACTTTCTACGTTTATCTGCGGATACTTGGCAAATTCGTTTTTGAATTTTTTTACGAAACTAATTTTGCATCGACAGTGCCCTTCTGGCGCTAACAAATATAAATTCCAAATGCCTGGTCGTTCGATACTGGAATCCTTCCCCCTGATTGGAAAACAGCATACACTACACGGTTTTACAAAATCGATAGTCGTGCAGTTGCAAACAGCTACAGACCCGTGAGCCTGACCTCCATATGCTGCAAGGTAATGGAGAAGATTATCAAGGAGGAATTAATGACATATCGTGAAACTCACAATCTCTTGTCCAATGCGCAGTATGGCTTGCATAGGGATATGTCATGTGTTAAAAACTTGCTTTA